TGTAGGGGTGGCAATAAATCCAAACCTGGACCCGACCCAAGACCCATCGGGTATAACCAACCGGGTCCAAGTATGAATCTAACATTTGGCCCCAGCAGGTAGGGTCCAGGTCAGTGTTTTAAAATGCGGCCGCATCATGCGGGATGCGCTCGCATCCGCATCACGTACTAGTGCATATGCGCTTTTGACAGATGTGGCCGCATGTGCGCTGCATCTGCTTCCGCAAAAAAAAAAAAATGATTTTGCCCCTCGGGGAGGGGCAAAATGGTCTTTTTGTAGTTCCAAAGTTTAGGGAAACTGTTTGGGGGGTTACTATACCCCCTAAACGAAGATTTCCGACCACTTTTGTGGCTTTTTTTTATCAAATTGAAGGAAAAAAAAATTTTGCAAAAAAAATTTTTTTATCCAATCTTTGATTGAGCAGTTGTTTGATAGTTGGATATTCATTTGATGGCTTTGATTGTTGATTTGGGGATGTTAAGGAGAATTTGTGATAAGAAATTAGGGATTTCAGAGGCCGTGAAGAAATCGAGCACTACTTCACAGAGTCGGTAACTTTTTATTCCTTCTTATGCAATAATATTGTTATATTTATTTTTGGGACAATGTCTTCTTCTCAATTTTCTAATAACAAGGATCCGGCTTGGAAATATGCTAAACTAAAAAATCCGAAAGATAGAAATTTTGTGATATGCTTGCGCTATGGAAATACTTATATATGTACTTTTCGACAAAAAGAGCATTTAACTGGAATTTCTGTGAATGCAAGAGCATGCCCACAAGCTACAGATGATATAAAAAAGGAGATCGTAGAATATTTGGATAGATTGAAAAAAGATAAAGAGAAAAAAAGAAAGAAAATGAATTACTTGATGATATGCAATTATTTGATGATGATGATATGTCTAAAGTTACTATGAGGCAAAGGAGTACTCATACTCCAACCTCAAGAGAGAGGCTTATAAATATTCGTGGTAGTGCTGAGAAAATAACACCTCTCTCTAAGGGGGGCCAATAGATTCTTTTTTCACCCCTAGCCCCGAAATTGTAATTCAAGAGAGAAAAAAAAAACAAAACAAACCACAATTGACAACAAATATAAAAAATAACAAAGGAAGTCAGTATGTAAGTGAATTGTACAGTGGATTTACATGGCGGACATTCCTTTTAATACTATAACTCTGGATAGTTTTGCATGTATGGTCCAAGCAATTGGGCACTATGGCCCAGGATTTATTCCTCCTTCACTACATGAGGTTAGAGAGCCTTAGTTGAAGGATGTTGTATTTGACTAAATAAAATTTTGATTTCTCAGAGAGAAGGGTGGGAGAAATATGGGGCCACTATTATATGTGATGATTCGTCCGATGGGAAATCAAGAGCATTCATTAATTTTATAGTTAACTGCCCAACAGGTATTTTTTTGTTAAGTCTATTGATGCATCAGACAAGTCACATGATGGTATATACTTATCTGGCTTGATGGATGAGACTGGCGATTTTGTTGTGGAGCAAAATGAGGTACAAATTATCACTGACAATGGTGCCAACTATGCTGCAGCTGGGCATTTCTTGATTTTGAAAATGAAGCATATGTTTTGGACACCTTGTGCATCTCACTGTGTTAATCTTATGCTTAAGGAAATGGGTACAACATCTTTATTTACTGGGTTATTTCAAGAGCTATGTTTGTTGTTGGATTTATTTACAATCACACCATAGTCCTAAGCATGATGAGGTCTTTTACAAAGAAGAGAGAATTAGTGAGACCGGGTCTCACTCTTCGAAGTCTAGTCAAGCAAAAAAGTGCCTTAAGGACCATGTTTGCTTCAGAGCAATGGAGTCAAAGCAAATAGTCAAAACACAAAGATGGGAGAAAGGCTGAAAAAATTATTCTGAATACATCTTTTTGAAGTCAAATAATTATTGCATTGGAGGTGGCTCACCCTTTAGTGAGAGTGTTTCGACTAGTTGATGGTGATGTAAAGCCCGCCATGGGCCACATACATGAGGCAATGACTAGGGCAATAACTGAAATAAAAGAAGTTTTAAAAGATGATGAAAATATGCACAAGGCTATACTTGAAATTATTTATAGGAGATGAGATACCCAGCTTTATAGGCACCTCCATTCAGCCGGTTATTTTCTAAACTCATCTCTTCACTACAAGCATCCATCTATTGAGTCAGATTGTGTAATAAATGGTAGGTTCTTAGATGTGCTTGAGAGGTTGGTGTCAGACAAAGATATCCAGGATGAGATCTAGAGCCATGAATTGCTTAAGTTCAAGTTAACCTTGAAAAACTTTAGGAGAGATATTGCCACTAGAAATAGGGACACTACAGATCCAGGTAAAGGCCAAAAGCCTAAAAATAATCTTAATTGTCTCGTACTTTATGTATAGTTCCATTGTTTATTTTATACCCTTAATTTTTAACTATATTCTCAATTATAAAATATTATACAACTGCATGGTGGGCATTATATGGAAGCGAGACACCAAATCTACAACATCTCGCTATTCCAGTGTTGAATCTCACATGTAGCTCATCTGGTTGTGAGCACAATTGGAGTGCATTTGAGCATGTAAGTCATTTACTCATTATTCCTTAATCCTTATTTCTTGAATTTCAAATTTCTACCACAGCTTCATACAAAAAAAAAGGAAATAGGTTGGAGCAGAAAAAGTTAAATGATTTGGTTTATGTGCGGTATAACGAGCGGCTTAGAAAGAGGTATGAAAATCGCACGAAACTCAACCCTATTCAATTATATGAAGTTGATGGTGATTCCATAAGTAAGTGGACCGTGGATCCAAGACAAGAGCGTGTGTTTGAGGGTAAGCATCTTACATGGCTTGATGTCGAGCTAGCAACAGGGGTTAATGAAGAAGATCGACCTAACACTAGAGCACAAAGGAGTAGAGGAGCTGCTGGGTCTAGTCCCACTCGCACATTAACTTTAGAGGTCGAGGAGAAAGCTGACTCAAAGGAGACCGATGAAGAAGAATATATGGAAGCCGTCAAGGATGATATTGATGATACGCATGACAACTCTCAAGATGACTTGTCTAATTGATATTTAAAAAAATGATGTTCAAATTTCAAAATTGACTATCAAAATGGATGATTGTATTAAGATATTATTTATTAACTATTAACTCTATCTTTTGATTTGTATTTTGTAATATCATTATTTTGTGCTTATGATTGTACTTATGGTTGTGTTTAATTATAGTTGTGCTTATGGTGCAAATTTGTGTTGATGTTATGAAACTGATTTCAAGTTTCTAATTTCTATCAGGGGATAATGGATAACTGGATACAAAATATCTGACAGCTAATAGTTTTGAAATTAATCATTAAACTAAAATACCTACTATCATATATATCGCCTTCATATTTTTCTCTATGCATTAACTTATTTTTTAAAATTTTTTTACATTTATTGACCGCATCATCGCGATGCACCCACATCCGGGCCACATCAAGCCACATCAACCCCCCACCGCATCAAGACCACATCCGACATTTTAAAACACTAGTCCATGTCCAAAACCTGGACCAATACTATTTAGGTCCGGGTCCGGGTTTGATTGGACCCAATCGATGCCCGTAAACTATTTGAGATTAAATGCTTCAAATCCTATTTGCTTGGGTGTATTAAATATCATATACAATTAAAATTCATAACCATCTTTGGCTATTGAAATACAAATAATCATCTTTAGCTATTAAACAACGAATAAGATGGTTAAAAATCTAATTGCAGATTGTGACCTTGTTGTCAATAATTTTGATACATGATGGAAAAGAAATGACAAAAGAAAAATGATTTGGGTATATGATAGCAAAGAAATGGCAAAAGAAAACAAAAAAAAAAAGATGCTCATAGTGCGAGTGGCAATAGACACAACGAGTCCGGGGACCTAACGAGCACAGGTATGGGTCCAACTTTTGGACACGACGGGTTAACGGGTTGGATCCGAGTCCAAAACCTGGACCTGAATACATTCAAGTCTGGGTCCGAGTCCGGGTCCGGGTCCAGCCAGACCCGACCTATTGCCACCCCTACTTTCCTGCCCCAATTTCTCCCTCTCCCTCTCCCTCTCACACACGGAGGCAAACCAACGAGCAATAAAGAAGTAACAACCATCAGAGCACTTTTAACATACCAGGAAGTATATTCCTAATTTGACATCTCTGTTCTCTTTAAGTAAATTCACTTCTTCAAATCCCAGACATCCATTCCAACAAATTAGAATTCAAAATCCACAGGCTGACATGCATATCACTAGTCATGGCTAAGAGAACAACACAATATGTTTGTCATGTATTTGGATCAAGAAAACAACTCATAACAGTCGGACAAGTAATTGGGGTGTATTAGTATGATAGCTTTCCCGACGCACTCCATTACGAGATAGTAACAGCTACATCATTGTCACCCCAACCATTCGAAAACTATAACCCTGTTGCCGCAAAATCACAAGAAACCAAAACCACCTGTCTTAACTTTTCAGGCCTGAAACATGGCAAAAACAGAAAAAACGGAAGTATGTTAATGAAGCACACTATGGTTGGTGACAAACATAACAAAGTTTTAAAACTTAGGGCTAAGTAATTTGCCTTGTTAGCAATGTTGTTCGAGAGCCAGTCCAACCCCTCATAAAGCCCCTCCCCAGATGTAGCACAAGTACTCTGAATGTACCTGAAAACCCACCAACCACATTCTTAACTATATCGAGTTTTCTTGTGTACTTCTATTTTTTCTTGTGATAATACACCACAAATTCAGTAATTATATTAGCATATGATATCCATATTGAATTCATCTTTCCTTCTGGCTGCACACCCAAGTTTTGAGTTTATAAGAAGAAAGCAATGGTGCCCAAGCTAGGAGAAAATCACAAGATGAGGAAAGCAAACGCTTACCAATGGCGTTGTCGAAGGGAGTGAAGACCCAGCTTATCAGTGATCTCAGCAGCGTTCATTGCATTTGGAAGATCTTGTTTGTTGGCAAACACAAGCAGAACAGCATCTCTCAGCTCATCCTGGCACCAAAAACCAGTAACGCCACTTCAGTCTATGCTTTTTTCTTCTGTTCTTTTTTTTTTTAACCATCCTAAACTATCAACATGCCAATCCCAAGAAACTTTATTTCAAATGTCAAAAAGATTCAAGTCAGCAAGAAAGAATGAACCCACTCCAGTCTATATAACCCGATATAAGGGTGGCAAAGGTTTAAATGTCAGAAACATGAAACCCTAAAGTGGGGCTCAAAGAAGGGAATGGAAAAGTGACCCTGTATGTCATGTGATGCTTTTATCTTCTTTTGTTTAACCAGCCTAAACTATTAACTTGCCAATCCCTAGAAACTTTATTTCAAACCGTCAAAAAGAATCAAGTTAGTAAGAAAGAATGAATCCACTCCAGTCTATATAACCCGATATAAGGGTGGCAAGGTTTAAATTTCACAACATGAAACCCTAAAGTGGAGCTCAAAGAAAGAAGGAAATGGAAAAGTGAGCCTGTATGTCCAGTGCAGGAGCCTCAATTCCTTGCTAGCCTTATAAATTTCAGATGCAACAGAGAGTAACAAAAGAGAATACCCAAGAATGCTTCTTGCTCGTATTTGCATAATTTATGTGAAACACGAATGCTTCTTCCTCAAATTATCAAAGGAGAAAGAATTTAGAACACTAAAAACAATAAAAAGGAAGACTTGGATCTTGAGGTGTTGGACACTAAGAAATTTCCATGAAGTTTAATAATATGGGATACATAAATTTACGTACGGACCATATTGGGGGGAGGTCAATTACAAAATAGAAACACGTTTGTCCCAAATTACGTGCAGCACCAACCCCCCCTGCCTGCCATTTTTTTTTTTTCCAAATTACCCCCATCTGGTAAACCGAACACCGGACAAGTTGGTTTTTTTAGTTTGAACGAAAAACAGATGTCCAGTGTTCAAAATACCGGACAGCCATCTCTATCTTTTCTATCTTCTCCAATTTAACAGTATTCTTTCTCTCTCCTTTCTTGGTCCCCTGTCTCAATAAAATCTCTCTCTAAAACCATTCCAACTCTATTGTCTGCCTCCTCTTTCTCTCGTCTACCTCTGCTCTCTCTCTCTTTCTCTCTTGTCTACCTCTGCTCTCTCTCTCCCTCTCTAGCTTCCTCTCTCTCTGTAGCTCTGTTTGCTCTGCATAAACTAAGGAAAATCATCACCCACTCTCGCACCATTATCCTGACATTCTCTCTCTAGAATCTCTCGCAGCATGGACACACTAACCAGGACAGAAGACACTGCACGCCATTAACGCCACAAAACCGCCCATAAATACCACCTCTCAACCCACCCAAAACTACC